GGTTTTCAGTATTTGAATAGAAAGGTTTTACATTTCACTAGTTAAAATTCATATTGGAAGAGAGTAGTTGAGCTGAGAATAATTGGCTCTAGTTAGATCTGTGGGACGGCAAAATTTCCTGATTTTGGTTAGATTTTGTATTGTTTCCATATTGAAAAAAATAGTACTGGTAAAATTAATAGAACATCTAGCTGGGAAAAGAAAATGTATCTAAGGTCATAAAGATTACTGATGAAAAATACTACATTGCGATTTAGGAAAAGAACGAAATAAACTACGTATTTGACTTACAGTTATATGATTATAGTGTTAAAATATTTCCTCTTAAGTAATGAAACTGGTGTGAAAATTGTTAGCTACATTTTTTCAGTACTCTCCGCCCCTCTTCCAGTGGAAGCGCAAGGGTTGCTGGGACTCTGCGGGCTCAGGCTGTAACGCCATCTTTAAACCCCAGAAGGAGCCACTGTTTAGCGCCGGGTTGTGCGAGTCGGTGTGCCCGAATTGGGCTTATTTTCTGCGGGCTTTTATTATTTCAAACCAATAAATAAGTTTAAAAAAAGATATAAAAGCACAACAAAGGAACTCTGAGAAGCGGAAAGACAACGGGCGGGCTTAACGGGCGGCGTTATTTTCTGCATTAAGATTCAGAAAACGTTGTTTTATCAAAAAAAATCGTCTTTCCCTTCTTTGTTGTTGCAAGCAGCTTGGTTGAGACGCGCTGCCTGGCCGCAATAGGTCCCGAGTTCTCCCCCTCCCCCGCGGCCCGGCCGGAGATGAGTGGAAGATGTCGGTGTCGGGGCTGAAGGCCGAGCTCAAGTTTCTGGAGTCCATTTTCGACCCGAACCACGAGCGTTTCCGAATTATCGATTGGAAACCCGACGAGCTGAGCTGCCAGTTTAACGTTACCGGAGAAAAGCTTCTGATCATCCACTGCAACATCACGGTGAGTGGGGAGGGGAGAAAGCAGGCGAGCGGGCCCCCTCGGTTCGTGCTCCGACGAGTTAGGGCCAAGCAAACTCGAAACGTACATTTCGGAGGATGGTCGCCTACACTGGCCGACGGGCAGATCCACTCTCGGGGAATTGGGTTCTTCATAAAGACGATTACAGGAAGATTTTATTGTCCTACACCATCGTAGTTTAATATGAATCCTATATTTTAAGAACATCGCAATTCAGACCGGAAGAGCAGATACGTCAGATGTTTTGAGATTTCTGCGAGCTGTCTCATCTTATGGAAAAAAATACCATATTTAAAACAGCTACAATTGTGATCATGTCGCATTAGCAACCCGTCTTTTTGTTTTAAACATTCAATACCCTAAACCTCCATGCACCCCCCCCTACATAGAAGTATATCCATTGTTTTTCTCTTTAGGATGCTGCTTCTAAATGTGGATTCCTTTCTAAAAGGTAGCGTCGTATCAGTCATTGGTTTTAGATATGAATGCACAGTTTATTCGTATAATTTTCTGCAGGCCTGTAAGAGGTGGGGGAGAGGTCTTGTTCCTCTCCATAGCTTGTTTACAGTCATGTGAATAATGTTTATCGCGCAGCGATACTTTGTAGTCACATTTGTATGTCTTTGTTACATGAACACAGCGGGTTTGTCGGAGATTATTTTCTGTACCCTATAAATAGGCTGCAGCATTTAATCAGTCGGCCGCTTGTATTCATGAATTAAAATAAACGGGAGGAAACATTACTAGGTAACAGGGTATAAGCATCCTCAACCCGAACTATACTGCGCCACTTGTGGTCGGGGTTAGTTTTCAGCTGTAGCCAGCTCCAAAGTTTTTTTTTTCTGTCAGGACACGCAGTTGGCTATTTACACGATTATTAAACAAGGCAGGCTAAGACCCTCGTATTGAAAGAGAGAGACATAGGTGGGGGGAGTGTTCGGCTAATTTAGGTTAGAGCGGAGAGCTGCGTCAGCGTGCGAGCTGCAAAGGAACAAGTAGAGGTTATTTCCACTCGTGAGAAGTAGAAAGGAAAACCTTTTTTTTTTTTCCGGCTGTGGAATCTTCTTCACTGACCTCAGCCCACCCGAAGACAGTTCCACAGCCAAAATATTTTCTTCTTACTTTTCATCCTTGAGTTAGACTAATTTAGGTGCACCCCCACACCTCCTTTCTACATTAATATTTAATATTTGTCTTATTAATAAATGGATGGTAGCATTGTAGCGATCGTGTTACACCTACAGCATACCTGGATTCATGAAGTCATAAGTTTAATCTGCTTGGGCTTTTCAATTTTGCAATAATATATGTAGTGTCTGTCTCTCATTTCTCTTGTTTACATGATCTACATGAAGTCCAAAAATTCAAACAGGAGGTAACAGTCAGGTTTAAGCTTTTGAACCATAGTGAGGTTTGAGTGTGGATTAGTTCCCAATCCTGGACCTGAAGGACACCACGCCTGCTCGTTTCTGTTCCAGCTGAACTCGGTTACATAAGTGATCCCTTAATTGACTTAATAATATAATTAATTTGAACTGTTTCATGGTTGTCAGCATTTAGACGTATTGGTGGTTGCCTTTTAAGTATTCCTGATGTTATAAGGAAAACATCTGAAATGAAGAGTGGGGAAACAAAACTTGTTAGTTCAATTAAGGCTACAGTTAGGCAGGTAACCTCAGATGGAATGAGAACCAGCAGGTGTGTGTACCTCCAGGACCAGGATTGGGAACCCCATGTGTTAAGTAGCAGGTTAGGTGCCTTTACAGTGTGATAGTGCAGTATGTCTCCGTGGGTCACCCATGCCAACCTGATTTTACTCACTGATACTAACTTCCAGCTTGAGCAGTTCAGCATCTAGTTCATTTGTTTCAAAGATCTTCGTTCTTTTTATTTATTTACTTTGCATATACATTTTAACCTTCCCCTTTGTGAAACAAGTTACTCAGTGTGGAAAAACAACAGACAAAACCCTGAGACTCGCGCTCCCCGCCCCTGCAAAAAGAGAGACTCGTAAAACCCTGTGTTACACACATGTTGTCTTCCCTACTGAACAGTACAGTATTTGATCGCTTAAGCAGTTCATTAGGTGTATTAATGGAGATACCCTTTGAGTGTGGTCACTGAGATACGTGAGTTTCTAAGATTCGTAAGAAAATAATGACAAGTTTGGCAAATGTCTTATAGATGCAAGCAGTTTTCAAAACATACACCCAGTGAGCCCTGACATCTTTAAAAAGAATAGTACATTTCACAGGATCTGTTTCTTTGCAGTTAAATCAATATAGAATCCCAAAACACAAAATCAAAATTGTACCTTCAAAAGATTCATAGAACTGTGTGCTGATTATGCATTGTTATAAAATTTAGGTCAGAGTTTACATAACATTTCAATGTAGATTCTGTTTTCAAGGATCTCTAACAATATTTCTGTCTAAAAATAATTAAGATGAGTTCAGAAAGAAATGAATTTAAAATTGTTCCATTACATATGATTTACATAATCATAAAATTAGAAAATAGTTTTTCATTCTGTGTATTGTATACTATTGTCATTTTAGATGGTTATAAAATTGCATAGACTAAATTTTGAAAGGCTGTCCAGTATCTTTCAGTTTTAGGTCTACAGTACTGAAAGTAATTTTGATGGAAAAAAAACCTGACAAATGGTGGGAATTCACTTGAAATGATAACCTTAAAGTGTAAATTCCATCACCACTGTTTTGTACTCCTGTATTTTGTGGTTTAGTGACGTTTTAGTATTATAGTTTTAAAATTAAAGATAATTTGTTTCATTTGCTCTAAGCTTCTAGCCTTCTGTAATGACCAAGCTTCTGTTTAGGTTTGTCTCGGTCAAGTTAAAGGGGATGTTCTTTATGGTGTTTGTCATGAAGATGTAAAAAGAAATTTGGTAAAGTATAAAGTTAAAGTTAATGATAACTAATGTTTAATTTTGCCCACCTCCTTTTACGCACGTCTTCTGTGCAATTTCATTTAACAAAAAGTCTAACTTTGGTGATGTTTCACAATTGCAGCTACCTTCCTGTAATCAAATGATACCCTTCCTGTTTGTAAGATGAAGTGTAATTGATTTCATGCAATGTACATGAATTTAATTGATGGCCTTTTTATAGTAGTTCTGCAAGGACGTTCACAAGTGGAACAGAGTGGTTTTACATTTGGTTAGGTTCTATGGAACATTATGCAAACATAGCTTTGATTGCTGTTCAATGTTTCAGTATATAAAGTAAATTTGCCAAAATTAAACAATGGTATGATCTCTGAACTGTTATTCAAAAAGGAACTTTTTTTGTTGGCTTTTTTCTAGTCACCTAGGGTGTACATTTGTACCAGATATACCAAGTGAACTAACTTTCCTCTTTACCAATAGGAATCGTACCCCTCTACACCCCCAATATGGTTTGTGGACTCCGATGACCCCAGCTTGGCGGCTGTGCTGGAGCGTCTTGAGGATGTCAGGAAGGGAAGTACCCTGGTAAGTAAAATTACAGCCTGTACATGTTTCTCATTCAGTGATGAGAAACGTGGATTTGATAGTCTAATGCACATTGTTTTTCTTTCATTCCTGTGAGTGTAACATTTAAACTTGTAGCCTTCTTCGAGTTTAATAACTGGACACCTGTAAAGGACCATGGAAAGGAGGTAGTGAAAGGGTAAAAATGGTTTCCGGTGTTTGGAGTGCAATAACAAAGGATGTCGATAAAGAATTTATCACATTATTGTGGGTGGATTTTGCGATATTTGTGTTTTTATTGTTAAACTTGTTTGTGATTGTAAATTGCCAGATTCCAATATATTGCAATTTGCAGCTCGATAGCCAGCATATTGCTAGAAAATAGCTTCAGCGTAATCAAATCTGGAGTGAAATGCTTTGTATGAATCCATTGAAATCCACATCAGATTTTACTAGGCTCTACAGGGTACAAAAATAGAATGTACATAAAATGAACAAGTTAAACAAAGTAGTAAGGATGAGCTCTTGTAATGTGTTAGATATACATAGTGTTGTCTAACATCCCAATTGTGACTAATATCACAGAGATGCTGTATAGCCTGATGCAAGCTGCTATGCTATAGTGTGTTACTTTTCCATCTGTGGTTATGACTCTGGTTTTCTGTGCAGTGTGAAGCATTGTTAAAAAAAATCAAAGGAGGTGTTAATTAAGGGTGATTAATCCAGAACAGAAGGAAGCTTCACTGTGGATTTGGTGATTATAAATTTGTTAAACAATGAATTCTGTTCAGAGCTCAATTGAATTGCACGTTGGATTATTTTACCACACAATTTAATGTAAAGTTGTATTTTTGAATAATGTTATTTCATTTCCCTTTTTTGTTTCATTTGTTAAAAAAAGTTTTATACTAGCCTTTTTTATGCTTTGTGCATAATAATGGTGTCATAATGCACTATAAGAAAGTTGTTGGGGAACTGTCATATTTAACATTACCTTATTACAGAAATGGGGACTGGTTTTCATTCCCCATTAAATATGTCCAATTATAATGGGTCTTGGAACTCAATTGATTTTCTTTGAATTATATTATACATTGACACAGAAATCAAAGGCAGCCCAACAAGATTTAAGACCCATTCACAAGGTCCAAGGATCTTTCATTCTTACTAGGCCAGAAGTTACTTTTTCTTATGAAATTGGTCTTCTAAGGCAATTTTCTTAAGCCACTGCAAAGCTGTTGCATTTGAATTGGTCGTGCTTTGTCCATTAAAGAGAAACATAAGTGACTTATTGGAAAGCATCAGGCAATGACCTTCATTTTCAAAAGCAATGTTACTCTGGCTTCATGTTATATATGATTTATAATACCATTTATAAGATATATTAATTAATTCAGTTTATATTTCCAAAATGCTCAATATAAAAAGTATGACCTGTAAGTTCGCTATTAAGAGCAAGTTTTCCACTGAACATTTTAAAACTTTTAATACCTTCTAGCCTTTAGTGATTGTGATCTGTAATGCATTTACAGCACGGACATTATTTGCTTAATATAGTATCGCAGATGAAGGATGCCAAAGGGAAGAATTAAAAGTCTTGTCTTTCAGTATTTTGTGCTAGACTAAACATAGCTTTTTGTGCATCTTAACATTCCATGTTAATCCTAAAATATAGAACATTTTCACTCACTTTTAAATGAACAGTACAGCTTTTGAAATTATGTTATTTAAAAACAGATGATATATTAGTGGTTAGCATTTTCACTTGTATTTATCATAATATCATTGAGAACAATAAAATGTTTTACTCCCCTGTGGTACCAAGAAGAATTTCAAATTGCTCCCTTTTTGGGATGTTCCTTGCTGTCAATCCTTAGATTTATGTGAATAACCTGGCATAATGCATGGCTTTTCAACAAGCATTAACAATTATTGTTATTGTTATGTATGTTTTGGTTTAATGTTAATTATGGCTTATAGATTTTGGTGTTTTATTAAGTTCAAGGTTCATAAATGGTATTCTATGAAATATATGTAATATTGCATGGAAACAAGTTCTCTTCACTTTTCAGTCTGCTGTATTCTTTTTACATATTTCAAAAGGTAATGTAATGAATAGTGTTATACCTTCCAGATTTTAATCTTGATAGAAAATATATGTGCAAAGTATCTAAAACTAGCAAGCAAGTAAGTGATTTGCTCAAAATGTTATTGGCATGAGATAGTTTCCTAAGGCAGGTATCTGGTTTTGCCAAAACCTGTCTTACAAGGATATTCAGGGACATATAATGACTCTGTAATCTAGAGCTTGGAGATAAATTTGTATCTATAGTTACCCAGTATTACGTGATTATAAACAGTTCTGTAATTTCCTGTGCATACCAACATTTCTTGGAATTGTCTAATAACATAACATTCATGTTAAATATATATATATGTTATATTATTTTGGTTTATTAAGACACTTCATTTGGTCTAATACTATATGCATCAGCTTTAATGGACTTTTTCAGGATACTTTAAAGAGTTCAGTGTCTTTGACGAATGGGCATTTCTTGTTTTTAATTCATTCCATTACAGACATTTTCCAACCACTTCCATAATGAATTTGGTAATGGAACTATTCAAAGGCTTGTACTGGATTGGGTTTGAAGTGCCAGGATTGCCTGGGTGAAAATTTAAGCTTTTAGTTGCAAAAGTATATGGTCAAGTCTGTTGTTGTACTTTTATTAAACAAATCCCAGCTTTTCTCAATTAAGTGAAAAGGATCTAGAAACCCAGGCTGTCAACTATAAAAGTTTTGCTACTGAGAAAGGATGAGGATTTTCTTTACAGCTCATAATGCACTGGGAACATGTGCTTGGGTGATATATATGTAGTAAAATGTTTTTTTATGATGCCGCATACCTGCCTGCATTAATTGACTGACTGCATTGATTGACTTTGGTAATTTGTGATTGGTTCCCCAGCTCCTGCAACAGCTGAAGCGTCTGATCTGTGACCTGTGCCGGCTGTATAACCTCCCACAGCATCCTGATGTGGAAATGCTTGATCAGCCCCTGCCTGCTGGACCGGTAAAAACAGAGTATATGTTCTACAAATCTAACCCTTAAGATCCAGGTGACACTAAATTATTGCATGACATTTTAGAGCCCCCAAAACAGGTTAAACTTCAGTTTTAATGTTCAATAGGACAACACAAGGAAACAATTTGCATTACTGATGATTCCTGAAACAGTTCTTCAATGTTAATCAGTGCCTGTTAGCACCAAAGGAGATTATTTTGTATAACATACTCAACTGAACACAAAGTAGAAAAATTTGTATCTGTTGGTATTTAAAGTTAATAAAAAATGTTGAGGGTGTGCAGACTCTTTAACTGGGGACCTGGAGAAACAAATAAGTCATAGTGCCTATGGCATTTCTGTTAATTTTTGCATTCTTATTAATTCGTTGTATATAGCAAAACTGTTATGTTGGTTTTGCTTTTCAATTCATGAAAGATAGGTCTTTAAAAAAACCTAAGTACCCAATATTAATGTTATAGGAAATATTCAGATGAAAGGTTCATTTAATTTGGGTTACTACTTACTAGACATACTAGGTTAAACTAATAAGTTTACATTGTTGTAACTGGTATAAAAACCTTGCTGCTTCTAGTTTGTATCAAACATGGAATCTTTACATTCTTATGTTTTTACAGAATGGAACAACAGAAGAAGTGACATCAGAAGAGGAAGAGGAGGAAGAAATGGGAGAGGTCATTTTTATATCCTAGTTTTCCAGTACCAACTGTGGAAAATCAAGACTTGTCTCATAGGTATTTTGTATTTTGCTAGCAGGATATTGAAGACCTGGACCACTATGAGATGAAAGAGGAGGAACCAGTGGATGGGAAAAAGTCAGAGGATGATGGGATAGAGAAGGAGAATCTGGCCATCCTGGAGAAGATCCGGAAGAATCAGAGGCAGGACCACTTGAACGTAAGTGCTCATTCGGTAAGGTGACATTTCATACATTTAGGGGGGTAGTGGGGAGTGTTTTGATTTGTGTGTGGAAGAATGTATTTTTCACTCAATCTAAAAGTATTATCATTGCTACAGTTACACTAGGGTCAATATCGCAAACATTTTCGTACCCTGCAATTAGCAGTGACTACCTGCCGATCTAATTACATTGCAGAGTGACAAGTAGATCTTACATTTTTACATCTACTTGTCACTCTGCAATTTGAATTTAAATTGTCTACAATAAGCTGTCATACTAGTCACATTTGAGGAGTCAACTCAAAGCTTGGTTTGACTTTCTATAACCATCTCTTCTCAATCTGCATTTCCTGGTCAGGGTCGTAATAGAGTTGAATGTGGAAGATTTCAGCACCTTCTGGTGGATTCCCAAATTGTCCCAGGCCAGCGGAGAGATGATTATACCTCCAACATGTTTTTGGGTTATCATTGAGTGCAATGAGATATACCTTGTAGAACTCCAACAGAGGTCTCCCAGAAGACATCCTTATCTGATGCCCTGAGCCACCTCAGCTAGTTCTGCTTAATCCAAAGGAACAGTGTTCCAAGGCTCTCCTGAATAGCTAAGCGTCGCACTGTCATGTAGAGCAATACCAAGAAATCTTGCAGAAAAAACTTTTCTGCAGTTTGTATCTGCTGTCTTGTCCTTTGGGTAAAGTCTCCAAAATTCATGACTGCAAAGAAGGACAGGAATCACTAGATGGGAATCACTTCCCATTAGATCAATAATTAAACCAAGAGCTTTGTCCAAAAACTTAGCTCCTGCTTTACCACTGAGGACCTGCAGACCACCAGTGCAGATGCTAATGAGCCACATTCCCACTTACCATCACTTGCTAAGAAGACAAAAAGGTTTTTGAACTCTGTTTTTTGTTCATGAACCTTGACTTCTGATTTGGGTGATGGTGATTCTTATCTCAGCCGCTTCACACTTGGCAGAAACATTCAAGAGCAAATCTTGGCTGCTGCTCCATGGCTGAAGCAGTTCTTCCTGAATGTGAGAATCAACCAATGGGTGCATAAGGTCCTCAGCCGGATGTTCTCAGGCAATAAGTACTGATCTTTTGGGGCCTCCTGTGTTTGTCTGGCCAGTGTCCTGTTGGTTCTGAGTTGAATTTCTCTAAAAAACCACCTGCACCAGTTCCTCTGGGGCCAATTTCAGAGCAGGAAATCAATCAGGAAGACTGGTTCTAAGAACCAGTGCTATTTTTGGAGGCAAGACTAGATATGGTTGATACTGTTTCACCCTCTTTCCTTGCCAGAGAAGTGACGTTCCATGTTACGGTGCCAGTCTTTGTTGCTAACGTCCATCTTTGGTGGTACCATACAGATATTACTCTTGTCCCTCCTTTGCTTGGCAAGACTTTTGCCCTACTGCTGTGCTTCAGATTGTGAAGCTTAAATTTACAAAGAATTACTAACCATGGAGTATCAAAAGCAGAGGCAATTTTCCAAACACAAAGTGAAAGCAGTTAATCTCTTATGAGAATACTTGTTGCGTGATATACTTAATATGCATTTTAATGTAATTTTAATAGACAGAAAGTTTTCTTTTTTCTTTTTTTTAAAGTTTAATAAACTATTCCAATGTGGGGAACATATAAATTATCTAATGGTATACTTTGGTATAAATTATTTTTTGGATAGTCATGGAAGATTAATAATGAACATTAATCTTTGGATCTGTTTCTTACTATTTGTCTACTTTCAACACTTCTCAAAACTGCTGTTACATCAAGTCTGAAGTTCAATATTATTTTTAGTATGGCATCCCCGTATCTTCACTTTAGCTTGTATATTTCTAGGCGGTATAAAACTGGTATTATTTCATGATAATTAGTTGCCATTGAGACGTCTAATTTCCATAATGCATAGGATTGGTTTGGATTTACTTGATCCTATATTCACATGCTCTCTTGTACATGTGATGGATCTTAAAAATAAATATTCATGTCAGATGGACAAATTATAGACACTGTACTCTTTCCAGAAAAGAGAGCACACCATCGTTTGTACATGTATATTCCTTTTAAATTGTGCAATGTTTTGTTCACTGAACATCTTTACTTTAAATGCATATGAAGTACTAATATTTAGCTACAGCAGTTAAATATGCTCTCCACCAAATAATCTGCTTGTTAAACTAAAATAACATCTCATTGTAAGCTTTGAGATGAAGAAACTAAAAGGCTTGAAATGTATTCTGGAATCTGTGATTTTGAAAACTGATTAGTCTTTGTCTTTTAGGGTGCTGTATCTGGATCAGTTCAAGCTTCAGACCGCCTCATGAAAGAACTCAGGGAGATCTACAGGTCACAGAGTTACAAGTCAGGTAAGGGGCAAAATTATTCTGTTCATGCCTGGTTTTGGAGATATATTTGAGCATAAAAAAAATATTAATTTAGACATGCATTTACAATGATATTTATAGATTTGCATATTGATTAAATGTTTGGGGCATCATTTTTAATTAACCATTTTTGGCTGCCATGATGCACTTGAGTGACTATCTCATAAGGGTTAAATCTCTGAATTGGCTAAATATATATTGTAATGCTAAAGGGGGCATGGTCATTAAGGGGGCATAAAATATAGACTGGTCTCAGCACACAGACACATCCTGAGAGGGTCTTATTGGAACATAAAAATAAAGGACAAAATAAAACAGCTATTTAAAAGAAACCTACAGTGCCTTCTGAAAGTATTCAGATCCCTCCCCTTTTTCCACACATTGTTGTGTTATAGACTTATTTCAAAATGTATTGAATTGATTCTTTTTCGCCATCAGTCGACACACAATACCCCATAATGACAAAATGAAAACACGTTTTTAGGAATTTTTGCAAATTTATTCAAAATAAAAAACCTCATTTACATAAGTATTCAGACCCTTTACTATGACACTCCAAAATGAGTTCAGATGCATCCTATTTCTTTCGATCATCTTTGAGATGTCCCGAGAACTTGATTGTAGTCCACCTGTGGCAAATTCACTTGATTGGACATGATTTAGAAAGGCACACGCCTGTCTTTATAAGGTCCCACAGTTTACAGGGCATGGCAGAGTAAAAACCAAGCCATGAAGGAACTCTCCATAGACCTCCAAGATAGGATTGTGTCAATGCATAGATCTGGAAAAGGGTAAAAAAAATGGCAGTGCATTGGAGGTTCCCAGGAGCACAGTGGCCTCCATCATTGTCAAATGGAATAAGTTTGGAACCACCAAGTCTCTTTCTAGAGCTGGCTGTCTGGCCAAATTGGGTATTTGGGCAAGAAGGGCCTTGCTCAACCTACTGGCCACTCTAAGAGACCTTCAGAGTTCCTGTGTAAAGATGGGAGAACCTGCCGGAAGGACAACCATCTCTGAAGCACTCCGGCAATCATGTCTCTATGGTAGACTGGCTAGAGGGAAGCCACTCCTGAGTAAAAGGCATATGACAGCCCGTCTGGAGTTTGCCAAACAGCACTTAAAGAACAAAAATTGAACGCCATGTCTGGTGAACCAGGTACCACTCGTCAACTAGCTAATACCATCCCTACGGCGAAGCATGGTAGTGGCAGCATCATGCTGTGGGGATGCTTCTCAGCGGCAGGGACTGGGAAACTGGTCAGGATTGAGGGGAAGATGAACAGAGCCAAATACAGAGAGTTCCTTGAAGAAAACCTGTTCCAGAGCGCACACAACCTTGGACTAGGGTGAAGATTCATGTTTCAGCATGACAATGATCCAAAGCACACAGCCAGGACAATGCTGGAGTGGCTTCAAAACAAGTCTCTGTATGTCCTTGAGTGGCCCAGCCAAAGCCCGGACTTTTTATTTTTAATAAATTTACAAAAATTCCTAAAAATTTGTTTTCACTTTGACGTTATGGAGTATTGTGTGTTGATTGATAGCAAAAAAAAATCAATTAAATCCATTTTGAAATAAGTCTACAACACAAAATGTGTGGAAGTGTGGAAAAAGTGTAGGGGTCTGAATACTTTCTGAAGGCACTGTAGCTTATATTTGAGCTCCTAACTTTGTTACCCTTACTAAATGCTGGGGGCAGCTGTTCTGCCACTGGTACATTTATATTCCAGTGAAAATAGTTTAAATAAAATAGAAGAAAAGGGTTTTACTGTCTCACATGCCCTGTAACCTTAGCAATGTTCATATTCCGGTCAGTTTCCTCTTCCAGTCCTTACTCTTCCTGTATTAAGTTTCTCTTTTCTATCTAAGGTCTTTCTGCAGTTATCTTTTCAGTTTTGTGTCTTGCCATGTTTCCTTCTTTCAGTCTCGGGTCAATATAACAGCTATAGCAGTACACTGCATTTAAAATATGGCAGCCTCCTCTCTCTGCATGTCTGTGATATCAGACACTCTACCAGCTTGAAAGTCGATTGTATATGATGGAATATGACATTGCTTCTCGTTGCATCTCAACTCCCAACAAATAAGAAATGGAAAAATATCAGATACATCCCCTAGAGCTGAGCATTTAGAAACGTCATTCCAATGGTGCATTGAGCTCCTTTGGAATTCCTTTTGGAAAGCTTACAAGCCCTTTTAAAGGTTTGTGAGCAGAAAGTCAGGGGATGGGGGTGTCTTGAGGATAATAATAATAATAATAATTGCTTACACTTATATAGCGCTTTTCTGGACACTCCACTCAAAGCGCTTTACAGGTAATGGGGATCCCCTCCACCACCACCAATGTGCAGCATCCACCTGGATGATGCGACGGCAGCCATAGTGCGCCAGAACGCTCACCACACATCAGCTATCAGTGGGGAGGAGAGCAGAGTAATGTAGCCAATTCGTAGAGGGGGATTATTAGGAGGCCATGATTAGTAAGGGCCAATGTGAAATTTGGCCAGGACACCGGGGTTACACTATTCTTTTCGAGAAGCGCCCTGGGATTTTTAATGACCACAGAGAGTCAGGACCTCGGTTTTACGTCTCATCCGAAGGACGGCGCCTGTTTACAGTATAGTGTCCCCGTCACTATACTGGGGCATTAGGACCCACATGGACTGCTGGCCCCACTAACACCCTTCCAGCAGCAACCTTAGTTTTTCCCAGGAGGTCTCCCATCCAGGTACTGACCAGGCTCACACCTGCTTAGCTTCAGTGGGTTGCCGGTTGTGAGTTGCAGGGTGATATGGCTGCTATGTTTGTGCTTGGGGAGCTAAAAGTATCTGCTTTTCAATTACTCAAATTTATGACATTTTTTACCAAGATAATGTCCTTCAAAAGCATTTAGGGAATAATAGGCTCTATTATGGTTGGCTATTTTTACATTTCATAGTTGTTAACATTTTATTTTTGATTTTGTTGAATATCACAATTTCTTTGAAAACTGGTTACGGGAAAATGTACATGGTTTCCATGAAATTCAAACATGACTTTAATATTAAGCAGGAATCTTTACATGCCTTTTTACAGGAATCTATTCTGTGGAACTTGTCAACGATAGCCTTTATGAATGGCATGTTAAGCTGCGGACGTAAGTAGTGAATATTTTCCTAGGTGTTTTACAGTTACTTTGACAATGAATTCTATGCTGAAAATTCTGCATTTCTGTGATTTGTCCTTATTAGTGCTTTAGCCATGTGTCGTATTTGATGTAACAACAATAATATAATGACTAACCATTGTGTAGCCATGGAGAACAATATTAAGTTGTAACTTGCCATGTCATATTAATACGATTATGGTACTATACAATTCTTATTCTTAAAACCTCTGTCAAGAGGTCAATAATTATGTCTGTCATAATATAATAAATTGTAGGATTCTTTACATCATTTTAAGAGAGCGTTGGTAGGTTAAACTGTAGTGTAGCTGTTAAGTTGTCAGTATTTTACAAGTGGAGTTCTGAATGTATGGAGTTCATTAATTATGTTCCATTTTTTGAAAATGGTTTTGCTGATCTCTTTTTGAATCGATCCTTAGTTGTCTTGTCATTTTAACTTTTCAGGGTGGATCCAGATAGTCCATTACATAGTGACTTGCAGGTTTTAAAGGAAAAGGAAGGGATGGATTACATCCTCCTAAATTTCTCTTACAAAGTAAGTAGCTTGGTTGACATTAGCTGTTTGAAGTTAAGCATTTGCTTTATTGCCTTTCTGGTCCCAAAAGTTAGTGATGTTGTGCATCATATTAAATGTTTCGAAATAAACTTTTTCGGGATAGATAATATCTAATAGTATGAGTGAATCTAGTAGTCATTAATACATTTCACTGAAGTTTAAATTTGGAAAGGTTTACATACTTTTTTTAAATTACAGGACAATTTCCCATTTGATCCCCCTTTTGTGCGGGTAGTTTCACCTGTTCTTTCTGGAGGGTAAGTATCATGCATTTGTATGTAAAACAGGGAAAGAGGTTTTGTGATACTTCATCAGAAATTATAATATTTTATTATCTATGCATCAGTGCAAGATATAAAAAACCTAGGTATGATGAAATGCATACAGAACTTTGTGTGAAGGTTAAGAGACCAATCATTTATCAAACTAAGCAGTACAATATTTACTTTTTTAAAGGCTTTGAACAACATACGAAAGGGGTATTTTGATTTTTTCACATTTCTATTGAAGTTTGAACAGGCTTATTTTCAAAATGCATAATGATCACACCAGTTGTTGTAAAATAAAGAATAAGCACGTAAACAATGGATGAAATATCAAAATGGTATTTTGATATTTCAAAAGTGGTAACTCATTCTGACTATAACATGCTCAATAAGAATTCGTATGCTGCTGTTACTTAATGTATTCCAAGTTTTAGTTTATTTTAGTTAATCATTTGAGTAATTTTGTCTTGTAAATTTCCATACAGTAAAAAATTTAGCTGACTTTGTTCCTATGATTTGTGGGAGTATTTCACTTTTAAAAAGTTTTTTTTCCATAACTAGTTATTGTGGAAGTTTTCAGAACTGTTTGTCAATACAAAACACATTTTCATACTTACACAATGATTTGTTTTTAGGTTTGAAACTTTCTATTTAAGCGCTTTAAGCATGTAAAATCTGTTTGTTTGTTTTTTCAGAAATGTGAATCAAGTGGTTAAATTGAGATTTTCTCTAACATCTAAAGTAAACCACAATTTTATTTTGGGATTTTCTAGTTCCAGTATTTAAAATATATAAATCCTAAAAAAGCTTAACTTGTTAAGTTAATGGTATAAGAAATTGTATAGCATATTATTTTAATTACTTTTTGCAGTTATGTGCTTGGTGGAGGAGCCTTGTGTATGGAACTTCTTACAAAGCAGGTGAGAACATGAAATCTGTTGATGGAATTGAAACTGTAAGTGCCAAACTACATGTACCAGTTTTTAGTAACATAAAAATGTCAATTGCAATACAAAAAGCTTCCTTTACCTTCCTCACATCCCATGCATATAGATATGCATATTCTTTTACCTACCAACTTGAAATCCTTAAATATATTTTTAGATTTAAGTTATATTCTGAAAAAAATGTGATGAGGAGCATTTATAAGTGTTCATTCCCTAAATCTATGAAGAATAATGTTTTGCTATTTATTCTGTCCTAATGGAAGGTAATCTGCAAGTCATTTACAAGTGAGCAAATTCACTAAAATGTAAATAATTAGGCCATTCATACTATAATTCACACACCTTGTTGCATGTTAACAGTTTCTGGATCTGTTTTCTTGATTAGGGCTGGAGCAGTGCCTATTCCATAGAGTCTGTCATCATGCAGATTAATGCCACTTTAGTTAAAGGAAAAGCCAGAGTGCAGTTTGGAGCCAATAAGGTAAGTGCCTTAATGTGTTACATGAATTATCAATTTTTAGGTGCATTTAAAGCAGTCAGTTGTTAGCTGATGTTTTATGCAGAAGCTTTTTGGACAACCTAAAATCAAAGAGGTTATAGATTAAGTAGTTCAAGTAGGTAGCTACGTCAGCATGCATAGGCTGCAATGGATCAGGGAACGGGTTTATTCCATGCTGAAAAAAAGGAAACAACATTTCAGCTGTGGAGCCTTCTTCAGGTGTGTGAGGTCATAGAGGTTACAGATGGACCCAGAACTCTGGGCTCTATGTTGGCATCTGTTTAAGTTGTATATTAATTAGATATTGCTTATAAAGCCTTGGTACTCTAAGCTTGTTGATGTCTTATACCTCTAAGGATACAAGAGGCTGATCTAGTAGTGAGGTTTTAAATTAGTTTACTGTCTTGTTGTACATTCATCCTCCAAATCTGCAGCTCTTAAACATCTGTCTAGTAACTTACAAGTGAAGGAGAAGCGCTAGTTCATATGTGAAATTTAATTTGTAAATTAGTACAAAGGTAGTCCAAAACCACATCTGAAGACCAGTAATTTTACATGCTAAATAAGTTTGCATAAAATCTTTTAAATGTCACCTTAAGCATTTTCTTATATTGACTTTTTTTCTCTGAAAACATAAGCTGTAATGTATGAAATGCAACATTTCAAAAGCATGTTTTAAATACAGCCTTTCAGCAAGATAAGGAATTTAAAACCTTTACTTTTATATGCTGTTACCACTTAGGAATAACTAGTCTAAAATGCTTCGGTTTAATTTGACTTAGAATTCTTTGTAACTGAAACAATGTGTCATGAATATTAGTGCACTTTTGATATGAAATAAAGAATTTAAGGGGGTTACTTTTTCACTTTGTTTTTTTTAATTTTCATTGCTCCAATTCTTGTTTTTTTACAATAGGAATGATGGTAAATTTAGTTAAGTTTTTATTCAACTTTGTTAGTGAAAGGTGACACTGTATTGGGCTAGGTTTTTAAGCATAAAAATTGATATTTGTTGTAAGATTCCTCAGACAATCCTTTGCAAATCTTAAAATTTAATGAAACATCATAGCTTAACCAATAATTGCTGAAATCATATATGTAATTTTCTCATTTTTCAAAGGTATAACACTAACAATTTATTCTGATTTATGAACGTTCTATATAACAGAAATACGCGTTTTTTATATTTTCACTGTTCATCAATCAAGATGCTCCTTCAGACTATAAATATCAAGTTAAGCAGAAGTACATAGTGTATTGGTGTATATTTTTTTTGCTGAACCTGAATTTTTAAGGTTTTAAGATGAGGTAGAATTTAAGGTTAAGGGTTTGGATTCTATTATGTTATAGGCTATAAATATTTTCAGAATTTTTATATTCCGGACAGTATCATGAACTGAAAGCTTGAATGTGTCACCATCTTCAGGAGTTATTGGGCCACAGCCTATGACTTAGTGAGCCTGAATTTATAAATAATGTGGTTTTAATAAAAGGGTTAAGCACTGCTCACAATATAAGCCTGTCAGTAACTTGACAAACTTAAGAATGAACAAGATATGTTAAACATGCTTTGTTAATTTGCAAAAATACTATATTGCACTATCCCTGCAAGCAATTAAGAAATTACAGACAGAACACTGGCCTATGGGGGTATGTAGTATGACCTGTGTGACCTTTAAATGTCTTATTTGAAATTTTGGTGTTTTTCTTGACCTAACTTCTTTTACCCTCAGGAGTCACTAATCCCTCCCTTTACTCATCACAGGTAGAATGAGTGAATCCTTTCTTTTCTCTAGATCCTTTTCTGTGTGCTATTGGGGACACTTTCAGTATCTAAAATGAACTTCTGTAAATGATCTAGAGGAATGCTGCTGTTTTTTTCATTTTATAATCCTAGATAAATGTTTTGTGACGCATAGAAAAGATATGTAACCCATTCTCTTTACACTTAGGCTGTTTTTCCTTTTAAATGTTTCAGAACCAGTACAATCTTGCCAGAGCACAACAGTCATACAAATCCCTGGTGCAGATTCATGAAAAGAATGGTAGGTTTAATGCTATTTACATTGTTCTACCTCATAGTATTTGTCTGGAGTTGCATACATATGGTGTTGCTCTCAAGCGGACTACTCTTTAAGATGCTGTACTTCTTTCTAATGATCTCAGCTAAAATTGTGAAATGCTATGCTTATATTGGAGAGCATTACTTTGTTTATGACGTGTATTACTTGCATTCTTGACTGTGGTGCAGCCTAAGGATAACAGATCCTTGATTGATACCTTGCCTGTCATTTGTGAGTTAAGCACTTCCTATGTATAATTGCAAATAATGAGATTTGCTCAAGGAGAATATTTAATCTTGGCAAATGTAGTGTAAATCTGGGGAGAGGGCAGATGTATGTACAAGTTTATGAAGAAACTGTCTTTCTTTTTCAGGTTGGTATACACCCCCTAAAGAGGATGGGTAAAAGACGGGCTCCTCCAGAAGTGCACTGGGACCAGATTTCTAAGGGTCAACACTTTTTTTTTGTTCTTTTGTTGTTGTTTTTTTTTTCTCTGACTCCGAAGTTATCTATTTGGGAGTGACCCCTATTGGGTTGACCCTATTGGTGACCATATAACCAACGGGTAAATCTCCTAACTGACCTCTTGACCCTTATCTTGCCAGGCCCATGTGGCCTGACCTTCTCTCTGTTTCTCTTCGGCATTCAGCAGACTAAAAAGAAAAAACTCCACACAGACTGCCTCTCCACCTGTCCCCCCATTCTTCGTATGGGCTAAACGTTTCAATGACTGCCGTTTGTGGGGTTTACGCTGTCCTAACGTTTTATGTTATGTATTCATCAGATACTTGCATTTTTGTTTGAAACCTAGGTTAAGCAAGCTCATCATAGGTTAAGAGAATAAGTAAGGCTGGGGCAGGCTTGCTTGTTGTATTAGCAGCCTGACAGAGAGAAATACACAGTCAGGGCTTATCTTTTAATATCTTACTATAGCCAAATACTTTGAAAGGCTTTACTTCTATGCTTGAAAGTGGAACGTGAAGGGTTTAAGCCAGAACATGTTTAATATAAATGCAATTAAGTATCCACCAGCTATTCACATAAAGTTTTTAGTGTCTATAGGTATGGCTAGTGATTTTAATTTTAAATGTTGGTGTTTTGATAGAAGCTGGTATGGGTGTCCTTAATTGAATTACATAATGTGCCACAGGTAATATCTGTATAGGCTTGTTTGTGTGTAATATGCCAAGATTGTAAAGCAACATGTATAAAGTCTCCTGCTTGTGTAATCAAGTGTCAAATCAGCCAAATCAAAGCAGGAATACACATTGCAATTAGGGATCTCTCATTGAGAATAATGTAGTTAGCCCACCTTCATGGTGGCGTTATTGCCACCAAGGAAGAATATCTTCAGACTTTGTGGCATTTGGCTATATTGGCTACTCTTAAAATAAGCCCTGACCTGGTAAGGCAGTTGGATAATTGTAATCAGTAAGGTTTACTTTACTAGTTATAAAAAGAAAACTCATACTCCGTTTGACTCTTTAACACCCTCCAGAAGGTATCCTTGTGTAGGTGTGGGGTCCAGACAGACTTCATTTTTCGTTTTGAATCAGGAAGTTGGCTGCTGATAAAGGAGTATTTTACAAAATGCTTGATGGATAATATCTTCATAAAGTGAAAATAAAGCATAAATCATTGTCTTTGACATTGCGACTATTCCTGTTTTCATAGATTGCAAGGTTCTTCATTAATGAACCATAATTCAAGTAGCGTGGTGGCTCTTTTATCACAGTCTTAATGTCGGCAATGAGTTTCTTCCTGCTTAACATCTGTATTCACAAAATACTTTGCAAGTTGAGAAATTTAATTGCAGGTAAATAGGTTCTAGCCATTGTTATGGTCTTTTACCTAAAATGGCAATTTACAAGCCTTTTGAGTATAAGTTTGTGGAGAAGGATCAGTTCTGCATTGTTACCAGTGAGTAGCTAATTTTGTGTGTGCAAAATAAATGATAAAATGCTTGCAATATAGTGACACTTGCTGTAGTTTTCATACTCGGCCTGCACACCACCACAGCAGCAGGTCTGCATTTGAACGGACCATCCTTGGCTCTCACATCTCTTGATATACACTCATTTTATATGTGAATGGACACTGAGTGAAAAATAAAGGCTGCTGATCCCATTCTCTTCATTTTCCAGTTGATCCTAATTCATTGTTTGTCTATTGAGTGACAATACATTGTGAAGTTGTATGTAGATGAATTCTTCAGATCCATCAATCCCATCTGTGAAGACCACAGTTATTTATTATGCCTTACAAAAGAAAGCCCCATTAAAAATATATTTTTAATTGTAATTTTAATATCTTTCCACACTCCATTTAATTTTCTCAGTCCTCACTTTTCAAGCAGTGAGGAATTGTTTGGCAAAGTTCAGTAAAATACTGGGGTTACTTATAAAATCCAAGAGAAACCCTGCACTCGGTTATGCATAATACTTGTTGGATGCATTTTAATGTTGCCCCTGTTGTTTGAATAAAATTCCAATGTGTGGGTCTTTCTACAGTTTAAGTTTCTTAAAACCAGCATAGGGATTACCTAGAGTGGTCTTTTATAGACAGTAACATTTGTTTTTAACGTTTTGTCAGATTCCTTGCATTCTGCTGTAGATTGGCCCATGTACTAACCCTTTACAGCACTAGCAACAATCTTTATTGTAAAATCTAGCGATGGGTATATGTTGTATTGTTGATTACATCTTCTTTATATACCTGCATAAGTTAGTCACCCCCACTTATAACCTGACCCAAAAACACAATATACCGTCAAAGTTGAAACTAAAACAATTCCAAAAGCCAGATTTGTGTCTTAAGAATATACATATGGCATAAATTATTTGATTTCCTTACGCTCATAAATTGGAAAGGAGAATTGTCAGTCTTTGTCAGCAAAAACTTGTTCTGACTTATCTGTATATTACGAATATAAAGATTATTTATATTCTTTATAATCAAGACACCTATGGCAAAACATGGTGAGAATATTTCAACCACTGTAGTGACCTGACAAATAAGGCTATTTTGAGAACTTTCCCACGTTCTATATGGAGAACTTTTAACAAATCTCAGGAATCAAGGATTTTATTCTAGGGAGTCATTATAGATGTTAAGAATACAAGACTAAAGGTTTGCGCTTATTGTCAAGAGTTTTTCTTAGTGGCCTATAATTTAGAATGTTTTGTTGAAAAGCAAATGTATCAAGAAATTTTCTTCCTTATGTTCTCTTCATAAATATTCAAGACTTTAAAGATAAATGTGGTGGTGGGGACTGCTTCTTAGTTATCAAATCAGTTTATGTGAAGCATCAGGCAAGTGGAGAAAGGGGGTGTAAATTAGACAGTGCTATATTATGGGGTTTATAGTCAAAATTTCAGGATACATTCTATCAGTTTGCAAGATGTCAACAAATTGTCACCTGATCCTACAAAAAAATCTTACCCTGTGTAACATCTCTTCTGCCTATTGTATTCATTTTTTCCCTTTGATATAAAACTTTGCACAAGGCTACCAAGAGCATCTAGAGAGAAAGTCCAAAAACTGCTTCAGAAGTGGAGATTGTACTTTTTGAAATAGGAGAGCTATAGTTTGTATAAGTTAAACATTTGGATTGTAAGCTTTTTATACAGTGGACTGGAATATATTGTGAATTGCAAAGATCTGGGCATTCTCATTTCTAAGAGAGCAGGACTGATTTAACAAAAAATTATTCTAGACTATGATTCCAAAATAGGAGTATTGATGCAGCTGGAACCAGTCTGAAGTATGAGATTCATGTTCTGTGTAAGTGTTAGATATTTGGTTGTACGTTTTTGTAAGTTTCAGAACACATGGCGGCAGGCCTAAGTAGTTCAACAGTAATAAACCAGATGGGTTTCCTCAAGTCTTTGTGAGTAATGAAGTCTCCACATCTTGTTTATTTTCATGTCTTAAAACCTCTTTAAAAAGTGACTAATATTTTGAAAACTAAATTTTTCATCTTTAAATGTGCAAGTGAAAAATAGCTAAGCATTTGAGCTTGCAAAATTCGATTTTGTGTCATTTGTTTCACTCTGCAGTATCAACTCTTGAGTGCTACTCTGTTGAGCTCGTGCCACACATGGCAAAAGGAAACTTACATTGATCCATTTTGTAGTATGAAATGTGCTTTGACTAAGGGCCTGACAAATATAAACCAGTTTTCTTTGTACTGGGCAGCGTTTGGAAACTGGTTTGAAATACTGGCTTCTAATTGCGGGATTCCCTTTTGGCGCCATTTTGTGGTGGGCAGGTTATCAAGTTATGCACTGTTAGCATGCTTTGATTTTTTTTTTCTTTTTTCATTGCAAGAGTAATTTTGACCATGTACAGTAATTTGTAAACTTGCATCAAGTTTATGAATAAAGAATTTTAAGAAATACTTTCTTGTCCTGATTCCGTTTTGCACTTTTCCCTAAGCATTTAAAATGTGATTTTTCAACCTTCAATTGTGATTCCAGCTTGATAATTACATTCAAATGTTTGCTTTCCAAGTCCTTGAAAATATCTTTAAAGGTTTAGGGTGGCCATAAGTAAAAATGTATTTAATTAATGAATGAATCGCTGTATAATTTGATATCTTCGTTAAAGCTAAGATATTTAATAAAAAATGGGGAGAGTGAGGTGCATTGTAGATCTAATTGAACTTAGCTCATAGAGGTATATGGTCACTTGCTAAATTTGTTTCAGCTTAAAGTGTAATTTGGTAGGTATGATGAGCCTTGATTCACAGAAATGGACAATTTTGTGAACCATTTTGTCATGATGGAACTATCATTTGGCTTTTCTTCTCTTAAAATTAAATTATTTTACTTATGACATTCAAGCTGTAAATTAGGCCTTACCAAAAGTAGAGTGGAATGTGGATACAGCTTTTTTTAACATCAAGTTAATTATACATAATGTGAGTCCAGCCATATTTAATATTCAAACAGAAAAGAGACATTATAAAACTTAAAGTAGTTGCTTGGGCCTAGAAAATAATTTGGTCACAGAATTGCCTTTTGGAGTTTGAAATTCCTCTCCTATATTATTGAATAATGCAAATCAAAGTCTCATAGGTTTTCTAGCTTGATTTACAGTTTACAGGAGGTTTACCTTTGCATGAATTTGGTTAAACATTCATTTGCCGTTTTCTTTCAAGATTTCCAGATGTTTTATTGAGTCTGAAATTAAAATTATTAGTGGTTTTGACTTTGGAGAACATTGTGCTGACATATGCAATCTCTCTCACACTCAAGTCCATTATTCTTAGCCTTAAGGTATGGTTCACAACAATTCATTTCTTCTGTTTATTGCATTAACATTTTTATTCTTGTTTTCTACTTTTGATTTTCACTACTTTATTTTAATGTTAAAGGTGTAACATTGATGTTTGCAGCACAAAGACTGCAGGAGTAATTGGAGGTTACGATAAGATGTGTGATTGTGTTGGATTGTGGTGAAATCCGTCTACAAAAAATGAGTGGGAAATGACATTTTCTTTGAACTGCCTTAATTGCAAATAAGATTTGGTTAAGTGAAGACCACAAAAAAAAAAGGTTTTGCACTTATGTTGTACGGAATTGAAAGCTACTATAGTGGTATGAAGTGGGAGTCTTACTACCTATGTACAGTATATAAAGTGAGTAAAGTAATTCCTAATTTGCTATTTTATTACAAGGGAGATATTTTAAGTTTAAAATTAGTAATCCTGTATCCTGTGAATATGTGCCATGCTGAAATCAGGCCCGCTGCCCATTTTCCATGCTAACATGTAACCAGTTTTTTTAATTGTGGTTCTTGTGCTATGATGCAAATTTACTTATAAGGGAATTAACTCCTGGCTCTGTGCAATTAGTTATCCATGGGTATATGTAATATATAAGTACTTTTCCAACTTTTAAATCATGAACTCTTTAAAATGAACATAGCGTAAAATAAATGGCCTGAGCTGGATTTGTAGTTGGACCTTGTCTCATAAAAAAAAAAATGTATTCAGTGCATGTTTTTGACACCAGGTGGCAACAAAAAGCTGAGTTTAAAAGTGTAATTGTTAAAACACTTCAGAAGGCTTGTTTCTGGATCAGTACAAGGTACTTAAATTTCCTGGTACACACTGTTGCAATGTACTCATTGTCTTGGGTATTACCAGTACTTAAGCATTAATTAATGGCTTAAAAAATGAGCCAAGACAGTTCTACTTCACATTAGCCTGCCGAAACAAGGATGTTAAACATTTGTATGGTTTCCACTAGGGCTGCACGGTTATGTGGAATTTAGCATGACTACTTCACAGCTTGTGGGTCCTGTGTTTGATTATTGCACTTGAGTCTCTTCTGTTTTTTTTCTGTGCTTGGTGTCCTTCCACCTGCTAAAGACAGCTTAGGTTAATTAGTCTCTAAATGGTCATTGAGTGCACATGGTATCCTTGCACATAGTATCCTGTGATGGAGCACAAATATGTCCAGAGTGTAGTCCAATCTTGCATCCTAAGATAGGCTCTTCTCTTACCAGGAGTGAGTAGCTCTGTAATGATACTGATAATACTTGGTTCAACAAGGATGGAGTTTTAAATATTCTCCACATTGAAAAGGTGGACTGAGAATATGCTTATAATACTTTTAAGGTTGCCTCTTCAGTTATTACATTTGTGTAGTCAAGTGATGCATTTTAGTTATTATATATTTTGTAACTCAATGTTTTGTATATTTTGTACATATAGGTGTTTTAATATTTCAATAAATGTTGACATTTGCAGAATTGTCCTGGCTTCATTAAAGCATCTGTTGCTCTTGCAGTAGTGGTTATCAGAATACAGTTTCACAGCCTGATTTGACAAACTTGTACAATTTATTATGCGCTTGGAAATCCTTATTAAAAAAACTAGAGGAAATCTGCAAGCTAAAAGTTTCAAGGCTGTTCATTAGCTTTAAGTACAAAGGATTATCAGTTTTCAACATAAACACCCTGCAAGCATAAATTGTCAGAGAAAATGATTAAATTTGTAATTCCTTAAAGCTTTTTGTGTTTAGTTTTGGTGGTTGAGTTTTGATAAGCCCATGCAGAGAGAACTTTGCTTTTTGAAGGCCACAGTGTTAATGTGGGTATTCTAAGCCTTTGGGGTTTTATGATCTTCATTAGCATTATCTTAGCCCCCAGAGTTTTGTTTCACTGGATATGGCTTTATTTACAAAACATACTGTATACTGGTATATTGAAAGTTGGTTATAACATAAAAGTGTGTTTTCATTTTTATGATGTAAAATTTCATTTCTTTTTATTTCTACTGTTATAATAAAGTCATGCATTTGCAGCACTGTATTGAATATCACTGTACAGTTCTTGATTATACAGAGACCTGAATGAATATGAACTTAACGAAAAAGCCATGTAATCACTGCATATAGGGTTGTTTATTTTATTTTAAATTTGATACATTGATGGATTTCTAAAAGCTTAAATTCTGTCCTGAAGTTATGATTTTTGTAGGTCTATTTTGACCTAGGTGCAAAGCTTCCTGCCTCAAGCAGCGTCTCAAGGTTAGGAATTTTACTCCAGTTGTTCTCTACCCCTGACAGGACAGAGCATCACAGGCTGTTTCTTTTCCACCCTCTTTATTTTCTGTTCTTGACTCTTGGAATTAAAATTGCTCCTATCGGGTGGGTTCCTAGAATTTGTTTTGAGACATTTATGACCCATAAAGCTAATACAGCCAACACTTGATTGGATCTCAATTCCAGTTGCTCAGATATACTTCAACATAAGACAAGAAAAACTTGAAGACACTGGAGCTATGTAATAGCAAACACTGAAGCCCCTTCCTTGGTGAAATTAAAATGGCTTTAATCGTTACAGATTTTGTAAACTTAGTTAAAGGATATAATGTCAATTCATCTGATAATGTAAAAATGGTAGTGAGGCTCGATTTAAGGATGTTTTAATGTAGAGGTCAATCTTATTTTAACAACTTTTCTCATTATATCGTCTTTGAGTCAAGTAAATGTCTCAAAGTCTATAATAAACTTGGTAATTCCAGTGATTCTGGTTAATGTGGTCTCTGTTCTCATATGGAAAACAAGTGCAAGAAGCAATAATAGAATAGCCCAACTGGTGCTTTATTCTTTGCCATTATAGCCAATTTACAACATAAGCGAGGTTACGGTCAAGAGAGGCTATTTGGCCCATCTGTGTCAATTCTTAGGAGCTAGGATCTCATTTAGCCATTTCTTGAGAGGAAGCCAGAGTATCAGCTTCAACACCATGGCTGGAAAGCTTGGTCCATACTTCCACAACAATGCACATACAGGGGGTCAACAGAATAATGGAAACACCCAACGATATATTAAAATCAAGGACCTAATAAGGAGTTGGGCCACCCTTTGCCTTCAGAACAGCTTCAGTCCTTCTTGGAATGCTGTCATCCAAGTCCTGAACTGTGAGTAGTGCAATATTGCACCATTCTTCAAGAAGAAAAGCCTCCAGTTCTTTGAGAGATGAAGGAGGTGGAAATCTACTTGGCCTTTTCCGCTCCAGAACTTCCTATAAAGGTTCAATGATGTTTAGATCTGGTGATTGGGGAGGCCATGGAAGGCTTTTGACTTCATCCTGGTGTTCATGAAACCACTCTTGAATTTGTTTAGCAGTGTGTATGGGAACATCATGAGGGAACAGTGTTTGCACCATAGAGTGCACCTGGTCCTGTAAAATGGCCTCATATTCCTTGGCTGTTACACAACCATGCATAGCAATCATCAGACCTAATGACTCCCACGAGATGGCTGCCCATACTATTACAGATACCTCACCATGTTTATCAGTTGACAGTTGAAGGCATCCTTTGGCTTTCTCCAAACATAAACCCATCCTTTTTCTGTTGCTCAGGTGTCCAGGTTTTCTGCTCCTTACACCAGGTTATGCGTCTTTGTGCGTTGGCCTTGGATACAAGCGGTTTCCGAATGGCGGCCCTGCCGTAAATTCCAGCTTTGTGAAACTCACGATTACAGTTTTTGTTGAGACTGGGTCACAGCAGTGCTGATTACATTCTGTGGTAATGTTTTAGGCTGTACTTTTGTGGCATTAAGCAACCATACCGTGAAGTGTCCATAAATAATTTTGCAGTTTTTGTGATTGATGCTCCTGCAATTCGGGCACCGACTATTTGGCCCCTTTGGAACTCTGTTAGTTGCCTCATGTTGCTTTGAAAACTCACATATCAAAGTGCTAATTGTCATCCCTCTTTTATAGCTGACAGATGCTGCTAATTGGCAATCAACCTACTATGACTCACCTGGACAGCTGCATTTGTATTGGTGATTTAGTTACTTCAAAGTTAAACTGCTTTTTCATGTGGTGTTTCCGTTATTTTGTCCACCCCCTGTAGTTTTCATTTATGCCCTTTGG